GATGATCGATGGGTCATATAAGCTGTTAGGTTTGGTTGGAGTCTGTTCTGTTGAATTTTCTTTTAAATGGAAGTGAAAGTTCTATTAAAACATCAGTCTGTTTTTGTGTGTTGTGTTTCAGGTGCTGGCCAGCCTCAATGGTAAGGATGGGACAGGACAGCCTTTTAGACTTGAAGGTCTGGAGGAGCAGCCTGAGGGCCCTAGGGGGTCTGGCCTCCTGGCCCGTCCTCCTCAGACAGTGAATCAGCATGGGCCCTCACATCGTGCTGTTGCCGCCCCCCCCAACGCTTCTGTTTCGGCCCACTCCTCTGCCTGGACTACTGTACCAGGATCGGGGAAGCTGCGGCCGGCGCACAACAATCATATGTCGGCCAGTCAGCAAGTGTATCCAACCCAGAAGGTTTGACACTGACCTCACTCACATTGCAGGTGTGTCGCACTGTGTGACTGTTGGTGGAAAGACTGTGGAGGGAAGAGATGAAGAGAAGACAGGAGGAAAACTTTTTCTATCTTCATTCATAACTTTTAATTGAAATTCTTTATAATTATTATATTTTATTTGTTGCATTTGAAGTGGTGTTGGTGTCACCTGATGTCTCATGATGATCTCAGTCTCTTTTAGCTCTGTGTTTGGTTTCCACCAGCTCCTGAGGGAAATCTGTCTCTTTAGCTTCTCAATGCTCCACTATGTTCACCAGCTGCTCTCGGACCGTGTCTGTCTGCTGTTTGCTGATATATATATATATATATATATATATAAAGATGACAAAGACGGTAACTGAATCATTGTTAATTTACTGCACAATTCTTTTTTCTTTTGTTTTAATTATATTCTTAAATTGCATTCACAATTGCTTAGTGTAAAGGCTGGACATTGACTGTTTCCCTGCTAAAAATTTTGTAAATGGGGCGTCGAGTAGCGGTACCTGAGGACCGAAATACTGTATAATCTTTAGCTTGACATTTAGCCTCTCATACCGCCGGTGTATGTATAATCTCCTTTTTGTGCGCCGGTTTTAAAGCTCAGAAGTAAGATGAGTTTGCATATTTGTTTTTTTTCCCGACCACAACATATAATCATAACGTTCTGCTAACAGTACAGTATAACATTGGTATAATGTTAGAGCATATTCTTATGCGGTTTCAGCATACAGTATGAATGAGATATATATTGTGTTCAGGTGCTGCACCTGTTGTGACACAAGGCTTCACTTGGATATGCTAACTAATTGATAATAAACTTAGTGTGATTGCATGTAACAAGCACTTATGGCATACTACTTTATTATACTGAGCTGAAACGTGTTAGAATTTGCTTCTTTACAAATGCTACTTGTATGCAGGTGTTCTTGTAAAAGTGAGTTAAAACTGTGCACATTGATATGGTTATATTGTGTAATGAACTGAATTATTATAAACCTAAGCTGGTTTGGTGTACACGTAACTTTTCTTTCTCGATTAATGGCAGATGGCTTCCAAACAGAAGAGGCACAGAGCTATGGGTGATGATGAGTGGATGTCCCGCCTGCGTAGGTTTGATGCCTCGGGGGTCTGGCCCTCTGAGGCAGGAAACAGGCCGGCACCACGCCGGAAAAAGTGGCATGATTTGTATCTGAAGGTAAAGATAGAGCAGCACCTGCCTTTTCTTCCGCATCTGGCCTCATCAATCAACAATCAGATTACAGTAACACTTTGAGGTATTACCCCTGCACATTGGACAGATATTGTCTATACTGTGATCTTTTGCACATCTTGACCAGCAGGAGTTTTGTCATTCTAACACTTTTGTACATTGTTGTGTAGTAAGGTTTTCATTTTATATATTCATATTTGACTGTTGCAGTATTTTATTTTTATATTTCCTATGAATACCTTAATTGGATACTACACCAAGCCAAACATCTTGTAAGTGAAAACCTCCCTGCCAATAAACCTTACTTTCTGAGTCTGCCTTTGTGATGTCGTCATCATCATCCTGTCCTCATGTTGCTATACTGCCAAGAAACCCCATGTGTTCTGCAGTATGCCCTTGCCTTCATAAATCTGCAAGTGTTTGGAGGTTACAAGTCCACTTTAGATCCTATTTTCACACCTGAATTTAAATTCTACTTGTACCTCAAGTTCTATTAGTAAGTTATATGATAAGTTAATTGTGCTACAGTGACTCACTATGGTATTATAAGATGAGACGGACTGTTCAGGACATCTAGCACCAGTTACACAGTGTACTGTTGATCATCTCCAATGACTTCTTTTTTTCTTTTTTTTTTTTTTTTTTTTTTAAAGGCAATCTGCAGTCACTTATTTCCACCCCATCACCATCCTGTATATTGGGTAAACTTGAAATAAAGGGCTGATTTGTTTTAGAATTTGTAAGTGTCCTTGATTTTTTTGTTTTAATTCATATATATGTATTAGGTGAACCTGGATGAAGTTAATGCAGTATAATG